AAGAAACAACTAAGAGAAAAGGAAAATAAGAAAAGAAAATGCGTACTCTACATGGTGGTGCACCACCGTGTGCCCAATGGTGTTCGTTCGGTGCGAATAGAGCAAGTGATCCATCCTCTAGCTAAAAGTTAATCCATCCGAACGGTTGTACATTGAACACATGAAACAATAGGGCCATATGTATGTGTCTCGGAGTTATGATATCCGTGAATCTACAAATTCGACGAAGACACACGTATGCGTGAGAGCTAAAAAATCGGGCCTCAAGGCCCTCAAGGATACTCGCCATAATTACACGGCCAACTCCTCTTTGAGCTCATCACCACGAATCAATTACGGGACACATTCGTCTAGCGAAAAAAACAACCTCGCCTCGGCCTGTCTTTCTGCTTTCAGTTGCAATTTTGTTTTCTTGTTTATAGTTCAAATTGCACAAATTGAAAACATCATATTCAGTCAATAGGTTTTCCGTTGTAATCGAACCATATATTGTAACACTAAGTTATGCCCAATTTGTATGTGCATTATCGGTATGATAGTTAGCTGTGGGCAAAATTTCATTTTTCTTCCTACAACTTGGCCACAGTCCAAAAAACCACCCCGATATTGACTACTTTCAATTTAGGTCCTATCACTTGTTGATTTCATCATTTTTGGTCTTTTTTTATCCGAACCTGGGATAAAAATTTGACGTGGCATCACGTGGCATTTTTTTATCCGATATGGCGCCTCATGTTAATATAATACAAAAATTGAGCCGTCATGTGGAAAAGGAAATTGCCACATCAGGTGTAACTCTCTTTAAATTCGATTTGCCCCAAAATCAAATCGTGTAACCCTAATTAGAGAAGCTCGACCGAGAGAGAGAGAGAGAGAGAGAGAGAGAGAGAGAGAGAGAGAGAGAGAGAGAACACCGATGTCTTCTGCTTCTTCCTTCTCGTCACCTTCCAATATTTTTTGTGATTGTGGTAAGAGAGCTCAACTACGCACATCACGGACTTCAACAAATCCTGGTAAGAAATTTCACTGTTGCAAGAATTGGAAGGATGGGGGTTATACGTTCTTTAGACGGGAGGATGATCCAGATAGCTCGAACAATCATATTCTGGCCAATGAAATGATTGAGGCCAGGAACAAGATGTTATTGCTTGAAGTCGAGAACAAAAAAATCAAGGAGAGTGTTGAACTCCAACTTCAGCAAGTGCAGGACATCTATGTTGAAGAATTTTCTAAAATTCGTCAAAAAAATCTAGAAGCTCGTTGTGTTTGTTGCTGCAACATGGTTTCTCTTTATTATTTTGATTGTTGTCATGTGGTGAAAGTTGTATGTTTTCTATTGTTGTTATGTGTTGCAACAGTGTTCCATGTTTGATGAACACTTTGTGTTGTGAACACTTTGTGTTATTTGATGAATGAATAAACACTATGTGTGTCAAACTTTTGTACTTATGTTGTAATGGAGTTGTTGGTCTTGTTAATCTTGTTGGTTTTGTTTATCTTATTTTTGTTTATCTTAAACAGAACAATTTAAGTTCATCTCCATAACAAGAACATAATATACAATAAGAGGTGTACTTGTCCATAAGCAGAACCTATAAAATCAAACCATAACCTGAAATCATAACCAGAACTTGGAACAAAAGTAACCAGCACATTGAGTTCATCTCCATAACCATAAAATCAAACCATAAGCAAAACCTAACCATAACATCAAGCCATAACCAGAACCTATTGTCATTTCCATAACTTCTCATACAATTCCATAACAAACTAACACAATTACAAACCAAAAGAACTTGTTCATAACCTGAACCAACTAAACCATCCACACAAAAACCAACCATTCAGTCACAATAACAAAAACACCCAAATCTAGTTAATATCCAAAAACCAACCATCAACCAACAACACCCAAATTCATTTTATATCCAAACACAAACAAACAAAAACCAAATCAATTATTTGGTTACATTCTTTCCCTTCTTTTTAGGATTAACAGATGGAACAAGACTACTAATAGAGGTGTACTTTTGGCCATATTCATTGAATATCTACTTCAATCTTGAATCTCTCTCAGTTAGGCAGCTCTCTTGGCTTGGTATGAAATGACCACTAACAAATGGTATTGGTCCTCTGATGACCACTCCTTTAGTGGGATGTCCCATCTGCATTTGTTGGTAAGGAGTTGGGGCGGCTTTGAACCATTGTGTTGCAGGAGCAGGGGCAGGTGGAGCAGGGGCAGGTGGAGCAGGAGCAGGTGGAGCAACAGGTGGAGCAGGGGCATAAGGAGTAGCAGATTTATACCAGTTTGTTGTAGCAGGAAAAGCAGGGGCAGGGGCAGGTGGAGCAGTCTGTATCAATCCTCTTTGCTTATCTGAAATGATGGTCCATTCATGCTGATTGACAATCTCCAAATCATTTTTCAAAAGAATAAAAAACCACTCCCAATTGTCAAAATTTTCAACACTAACAAAAACATAAGCCAATGGAAAAAGTGCATTATTGGGGTCAACCCCAACAGCAGTAAGCAAAATCCCTTTATTGAGACCTTTCAGATGGCAACCATCCACATCAAACACTTTCCTATAACCTGCCTTAAATCACAACTTCAATGCATTCAAGCAAATATATAATCTATTAACACAATCTTCCCACTTTCAGAAACTGTATCCAAAACAACTGTACTACCAGAATTTGTTCTTCTAACCTCCTCACAATAATCCCACAACAATGCATACTGCTCTTTACGTTCACCTTTTTTATCAGCAATGGCATGCATTTTGGTTCTGTATGCTTGTTGTTTAGAAATGTGAACCCTAAGCTCTCTTGCTGCTTAATTTCTAAATCCCTTAACAGCCCTCTGAGGATCATCTTGAAAAACAACAGCATATTTCCCAGCCAACCAAGTGGATTTCAAATTTTTTACCTTTCCAGTCACTGCACAAGTGTGTCTAGGGTTATGCTTGCTAACCTGAAAGGTCTGCTTATTTTTCACCCTAACTGCACTAATCTTCCATGAACAGTTACTATCACCACACTTAGCTCTAAGGTACTGCTTCACATTTTTGCTAATTACCACAGTTCTTTTTGCCTTAATGGCACTTGAATGTATAGCTGTCCTAAGCTCAAATTTTGTGGCAAACATCATACCTATCTTGAAGTTTGGTTCATACAAGTCATTAGGATTAAACACAGGATACTTATAACTCAATTTGTCCTCATCAAAGCTATCTTAACTATTTAACTCCTCTTGGTATACCACATCTTCATCCCCTTCACTTTCATTTTGATTTTCAGTTTCATTCACATTTTCAGGTTCATTTTCACTCTCACCAACATCATTATCAACATTCTCATCAAACAATTTATCATCTACTTTTTCATCCCTCATATCATACTCCCAATCATAAAGTTCATCACTGGATTCATCACTTTCAAGACACTCTCCCTTACTACCCTGACCCTCATCTTCATCATAGAAGTCTCCTTTACTACCCTCACCCAAGCACTCAGTACCATCTCCCTCATTACCCTCACCCAAGCTCACCACATCATCTCCCTCATCCCCCTCACCCAAACTCACAGCATCATCTCCCTTAACTCCGTCACCCAAGCTCACAGCACCACCATCTCCCTTAACTCCCTCACCCAAGCTCACAGCACCACCATCCCCCTTAACTCCCTCACCCAAGCTCACAGCACCACCATCTCCCTTACCTCCTTCACTCATGTCATCCTCAACCTCACCTTTATCACCGACTTCCTGTTCTTTTTGCATTTCTCTCATCTCATCAACATACAAGTTTACTTCTCTAAACTTTCTATTATCTTCCCATATTTTTTCTAAATCACGCTGAGAGCTTACTAACACAAACATATGTCCCTTATTTTGATACAGTCTGAAAGGTTTCTTTATACCTTTTCCTTCAGCAAGCTTTCTGAAATCATCAAGACATACCTTTGTATGGTCAACAAAAATAATAAATAATTGAAGAACCTCTTAGATATGCTGCATAGTTGTGACTTTGGTCAAATTCACCTCCATAATGTAGACCAATTGTGAACAACTCACTTTCGGTTCCTACAAACCGAAAAGAAATTTTTTTGATTAGCAACATAAATGTAAACCTTAATTTCAGAAATACAATAAACAAAGTCTAAAAAAACCCTAATTATAGAAATTGTAAACCTAATTTCAAAAGTTATAAACCATAATTTTTAAAAACTCAAATTTCAACAATTATACTAACCATATCTAGGAGGGGGAAGGTAATCAAGCTATTTTCGCCGCAATTTCATCTCGCAGTTTGGGACTTTAACTCCTAGAGCAACTTTCTCGATCAAACCGAGATTGTCTACATCAAACTGAGATGTTTTCTCCATCGCCAATTTTGATTGCTGCTTCACTGGTTGAGACTGAGAGGTTTCCATCGCCGATTTCGATTTCTCCTTAAGCTTATCATTAAATCTTATCATTTTTTCCTCACCATCTTCAAGCAATTTCAATTTTGTGGAATTTCGGGAGTTGAGATTAGAAGATTTTCTTGAGCGGAAGTTGAGAAATTGCGGGTCGATTCTGAGAAATTGAGAGTAGAGAGTAGAAGACGTTTTAGGGTTTTGAGAAATTGGGATCGATTATGTCGATTAAGTTGCACATTTGGGAGGGTAAATCTGATTCATTTCGCGCCTTCTCGTATCCTGCCACGTAAAACCACAATCATGCCACATCGGATAAAAAAATGTCACGTGACGCCACGTCAAATTTTTATCCTTGGTTCGGATAAAAAAGGACCAGAAATGATGAAATCGACAAGTTATAGGACCTAAATTGAAAGTGGTCAATATCGGGGTGGTTTTTTGAACTGTGGCCAAGTTATAGGACCAAAAATAAAATTTTGACGTTAGCTGTGTAATACAAACACATACAACACACACAAATACAACCCCACCATTAACCCTGGAAATAGAAATACAGGTATATATAAGACCCTTGTATACCTTTCCCTTTCGCCTATCTTATATGGCTGGGGTTATTTTTTTAATTTCTATATATTCTTCATGTCCTTGATTTCATTTAGTTTATTCTTATCTTCACCTTTGCTTCACCTTAAATTTTCCTAAGTAAAATTGAAATATTATAAGGGCTGATCACCGGCGATTCGACTAAAAATGTCAGTAGAGATGTCATCCGAACGCGTTTGCTACGTTCAGTGCAATTTCTGCAACACCATTTTAGCGGTATAACTAGTTTATTTTGTATTATTTCATTTCTACAGATTAAATTTACATTTGCATACATAATTGCATCCTAAAAAATCAAAATTTTGTTAATTTTTTAGGGTTTCAATGAACTGCTACTGCTAGCATCAAGCTTTTTTCATTTGCCCGGGAGCTAGATTTTCTTTATTAATTAAAATGCTTTTTTGTTTTGCTTCTTGAAAATATTAGTTAATCCGAAACATAATTAATATACTTTTAGTTTATATTATATGTTCAGATAAAAAATTTCTTCTCCAAAAATTTAAATTTGACACATGTTTTGCATGATTTACAAAAAGAAATAACTGGTGCCATCATTAAGTTATCTAGAACTCTTCAAGTTTAGTTTGAAACCATCAATTAATATGAAAAGTTCACGATTTTATTCTACTTATAATAAATGAGAGCCCTAATTAATCAGTGCTCCGTAAATTAATATAGAAAAAAAGAAAAGGAAAAAAGTAAGTCATTTTTTTTTTTTTGTTAATAACTATAGCTGTAAATAAATTATATATACTGGCCACGGTGAATGTAAATATACAAGAATAGGGCGGCCATGTGATTTCTAGTTAGGGTTTTCTAATCTTTCTTCTTCACAAATAAAGATAGATAGATCTACGCACCAATTAAGTTTTCTATGTCATCTGCTTTATTGCTTCCAATTTTGACACAATTTAATTTAATTTACTCAATTTTAGTTTCTTACTTATAAGTTATATCTATTTGTCTACTTCAATTTTAAAGGCCGCAAACACTTTCTGTCTGTGCTAAAAATGGTTCTTCTGCGCACATCATTCATTTAATTTCCGACCTATTCTTACTTTGTGGAAGGTTTTTATGTTTCTTTACAATTTTTTTTCTTCCTTATGTCAGATCTTAGTTAGATCATGAACGGTCAATTGTTTAAAAAAAAACAAAAAACAAAAACAAAAACAATAATAATAATAATAATAACAATTAGATATTTCAAAATAGTACAAAATATCTTTTTCTTTATCTTTGTTTATCATATAAGGCGTTTGACACGATCGAGGGTGATCTTTTGGCTGCGAAATTCCAAATATACATACATATACACACACAATATAATATGATTATATATGTATATTTACACACAATACAAGAAAATAAAAGTGAGTACGGTGTCTTTGATGATTTCTGTTCAGACACGTCTTTATCCTCTCCTTCTCTCTCTCTCTCTCTCTCACGCACACAACACACAGTAAAGTGAGAGGAACTTTGTTTTTAGCACAACAAGAAAAAGGGTAATTAAAAAGCCTGATTTTGAAGTTTTTTGGTGTTGAATGATAATTAATTTTGATTAATTAAAGCCTGATTTTCAGGAATTGGCCTGGTTGAATTTGTACATTCTAAGACCTTTCTTTCACATTAATGTGATTGGAACGAAAAAGGACAAATGAAAAAAGGACTAGGTTTTGGTGTCTAGGGTTTTCAGCTAAGAAAATTAGAAAGAAAGTGACAAGTCTATTAATTTATAATTTTTTATTGTATAAATGTTTATAATAAATGTGGTAATTAATTTGGTGATGATCAGGTTGGTGTACCATGCGGTGTGTTTAGCATGGCGACGGTTAGATGTGGGCATTGTGCAAATTTACTGTCAGTAAATATGGGAGCTTTGATTCACCAATCTCTTAATAATCCCCAAGCTTTCCAGGTACTGTAATATATATTTATGTTTTTATATTACTAAGCATATCTATGTGTGATTCATTTTTTTTATTTTTTGAATCTCTAATTGTTTGCTAAATTATTTCAAAAGGTTTGCCAATTTTAATTGACCAATTTGCAGAAATTATGTTCTGATTTCTCCATCATCATTCACTAAGTTGTTTAAATTCATTAAATTTTGTCCATTTCATTCCTAAGTAATATCAATTTATCTTTTCTATGTTTATGTTCTGTAATTTCAAGTTTCTTGGTTTAGTAAGGGAAATGAATACAGATATACGGTTTTGCTATGGAGCCAACTGTTGGCTCCATAACAAAACCGTACAAATATATTTTATGTTTGAATTGTTATAAAGTGTTAAAATTATTTGTTATCGAAAACAACATACCAATAAATTCAACAATTAAAATTGTAAAGTTACTAATAAAATAGCTGCTACAATAAGTTTAAAATGGTTTTAATTAGTAATGCTTATGTTCATAGAGTTTTATTTATGTTAATGTTCATATTTGTGCACACCTATGTTGCAATATATTGTTAACAATAATCTACCTAAGCTACAACTTCCCCTCATTATTGGGGATGCAATCTTGATTTATCTTTTGAAGCTTTATATTTACAACATGAAATTAAATTGTTTATTGTCTATGCAGACTGAGAAATGTAATATTGATGCGTGAATGTGTAGTAATTATGATATTCAAACATCGCTTAATTTATATTATTTTGATTGTCGTTGTGACACAATAATTTAATGGTTAGACGGTCATATATTTTCAACCGATATCCATGCTTTCAAATAAAAATATTATAATCTGAAAAACAACATACATAAAAACTTTGGTATTTCAATGTCACATAAGTGTATATATTTTTGTGACCCGTTTAACAGTTAGTCAGTCTCACATAAAATATTTGTGACGGTGTATATATATTATATATATCATACTAGGACTCGATTAATCAATTTTCGTACTAATTAATTAATTTTGTAACATGTGATTGCATGAATGAATGAAGACTAACCACGCTGCTAAAGATAGCCATGGCTCATCTTCAAAGTGCATTAGGTTTGCTGAAAATGAACAGCCCAGGACGCCCCCAATACGCCGTAACTTTTTTCTTTTTCCCTCCTTATTTAATTTAGATTTTATGCACCACTCCTTATTTTCTTACATTTTTGTTACTAACTATATACATGTGTATTTATAATAAGGAAAAAAAAAATCAAGGTTTTTAATTAGGTTTCCNGGATTATATATGAAAATGTGCTGAAAAAGGAGCTTCTTTGCATGACCTATTGTGTGATTGCGACATTACATTATTTGATATACCTATTTTATGTAGCACCTACATATGTACGTTAATAAATTATGCTATCCCTCTTTATTCGTAAATTATTCACTTTACGCCCAATACATTTATCTTCAAAAAGTATATGTATCAATAAATTTATAATTTAATTTCAGAATCATACCGAAATATTATTTTGGATATATAAGCATATAAAGTATACACCTTCATAAGTACTCTTATTTTATTCTTTCTGTTATATGACTCCAACATTATATTCGTAGTATGCCAAATTTCTATATTGTTAGAGACATTTGAGTTTCTTTAAAAAATTGTTTCATTTTCTTCGCCAAAACTAATTTCTATATTAAGTAATCAAGCTTGATTATTAAAACAAATATATTTTCCTAACATTTATACTAAACAATTGTGATTAACTACAGCTCCAGAGAAACGACAGCGTGTTCCATCAGCATACAATCGTTTCATAAAGTAAGTACACAATTCCTTAATTTCGCGTTGGATCGTATAAAAGTACATAATTTCTCGTAATTGTGTACACAATTAATTAATCTAAACATGATTCGTGTTTATACTATAGAATAACAATTATTGTATATATATATATTTCCCTTTCTGCAACATTGACAGAGAGGAAATTCAGAGGATAAAGTCTAGCAATCCACAAATTAGTCACCGTGAAGCCTTTAGCGCTGCTGCAAAAAATGTAAGTATAATTCCACTATTATGTGTGCTATATATGTAGATAAGTTTTGACATTATTAAATATAAGATATATAAAACACTATAAGATTTGAGAATGTGCACTGTACCATTAATAAGGGGTGATTGGATATGAATTCAACTAGTAAAAAATTAATTTTTTTGAATTATAATAAAATTTGAAAAAAATTAGTATGTTTAGTTGTTAGTGGATAGATTAAAATAATTAGAGTTGATTTGAAAAAAAGGAGTGTGGTTAGTTGTTAGTGGATATATTAAAATAGTATTTAGATTAAAATAATTAAAGTTGATTTGATGTAAAAGTAGGAGAAAATGATTAGAAGTGATGGTTAGTTGAAATTATGTGAGTGGGTAAATATTGAATTAAAGTTGATGTGATGTGTAATAATGATTAGTTTATATTTTTTTAATTATATTGTAATATTGAAGATAGTAGAGTTGAGTTAAATCTGAGTTTTGAGTGGGATATTTACTGCACAAATTATATACAATCACGCGCCTCAAAGGGAGAATTTCATTTCTTGCAGTTAGACCACAATTTGTATTTTGTTATTTGATTAGGAAAATACATCACTTTATACTTTAGTATTTTAGAGTAAAATTAGGAGAAATTGCATAGAGAATTTCCTGATTATATATATTATAAGAAATTGGGTTAATAATAATAATAATAATAATAATAATAATAATAATAATAATAATAATAATAATAATAATAATAATAATAATGTATTGTGTTGATTATGCAGTGGGCACATTTTCCTCATATTCATTTTGGACTCAAGGTTGATGCCAACAAACAAGCTAAGCCATAGTGCAGATGGTGGAGGAGAAGGGACTCACAAGTCTCTTGGATTCTACTGAGCTTCTTTTATTATATATTGTTATTAATAATCTATTGGAATTTATAATTAAGATCCCTTATATATATTTTAGATATGAAAAAAGGAAAAAGAGGGAGTCAAATGCCTCGTATCTATCTTGAACTCCTGGGGTCAAAAAAGGGTGCAGTTTGATTGAAATAAGTTATTTTGAATGTTTGTTATCCTTGTAATTAATTACTGTGATTGTCAGGGGCTTGAATTCTTGAATGCGTTTCTTAATTTCTTAGAAAAGTGTGAATCACATTTATTGATAAACAATATATGGTCTTGAACAATTTGGTAGGTCCAACAGACTGTCGTCTTTTGTGATTAAAAAAATTAAATAAATTTTATACTTTATTCTATGTTGTACACATATTCCGATTTAATTGTTTGTTCGGTCAGTCTAAAAAATAACCTAATGAAATCTTTTACGCGAGCAAATGTGAATTNACTTTGAAAAAGAGAGAGGGAAAGAAGTTTTTATTTTAAATTCTAAATGTATTTTAAGAAATTATAATATTATTTATAGTTTATGGAAGTCCGGTATTTACAACTTACTCCTTCTATATTATAATTATTTTTCTAATTCGGATTATATAATGAATTTGATAGGTAAATGTATTTAATTGATGAATAATTATACAACTTTTTGGTTAATATTGATAGATGATTTCAAGTATAAAGGTAAATAATTATTTTATATATGCAATATAAATATCAAATCTAAACTCATCAAATTAATATAATATATATATATATATATATATAAATCTGATAATAAATACAAATGTTATTAATCGTTAAAATATATCTATAGTGTAAGTGAGAAATTTGTTTAAACATGGATAAAAGTCCATATCTATACCATCTCAGAACTACCAGAGATTGAGATATAGAATTACAAAACATTAAAAATCAACATAAAAAAATTATAGAGTACCAAAAGTTGATACATATGTTTGAAAAAACTTGCATTTATGTAAATGCGTGAGATATCCTTGACATATAGAGTTCTGAAACAAAAATAAGTAGCATAAAATAAAGTAAAATAATAGAGTTTTAGCTTGTCTCGCATAAAGTACAAGCACAGTTTTACTGTGAATCCAACAGTTGGCTCCATAGTGGAATCAACATTCTATATACAAGAAGTAAACTATATCATATTAATAAAATTATTAGTATTATTTTAGTAATCTGAAAAATATTGTATGATTTACTTGTTGTATATAGAAGGTTGGTTCCACTATGGAGCCAACTGTTGGCTTCATAGCAAAACTGAGTACAAGCATAAACTACCAGTTTAGTCAAACTCTAGCGAAAAATCCTTCAAATGTATGATCTATTTCCTTTCCTTTTGTTATGGAATAATTAATTTTTTTTTTTTTTGTCAACCTCTCTAAAATGAATCATAATATACATTATCTTCTTACCTTTTCATTTCATTAATTGCATTAAATGAGTAATATATCTATAAAGTCATAACATCGTTATAATGCTTGGTGTTGATAAAGGAGCTAGCTTAATTGGTCGACAGCCCATAGTTCAACAAAGTATATAAGGACCACAAAACCATATATAATCCCTGCACCCTGCCATCATCAACTTTTAATTTGCCCTACCTTCAAGGATTGCATGTCTCAAATATAAAAAAAAATATTCGATTTACAAATTTATATGTATATACATGTATGTACATAATGTGCATGTGTATAACTATTATAATATACTAAAAAACATGTCCTTTTTCCTTCTCTTTTGAATTCACTTGTTTGGTTGATTGGGGATGATGGATACAGTTCAGGAGATCATGACTCATGAGTCCCATTCAGAGGTCATGTATATATATATAAAAAAAATCTCACCTAATATGATGGCTCCCTTCATAATACAAGGTTTTATAACATCAAAAACTACATACTTGTTTATAATTTAAGTATTCAATTCATCAATATTGTAACTTTCAACATTCTTTTTCATCAATTGATCAATATTAAACTCAGGGAAATCTACATTAACATCAAAAACTACATACTTGGTATTCGTGCAGAATATATTAATGTAGATTTCCCTGAGTTTAAGGGCCAATATTTTAGTGCTTCATAACTATATGTATTGATCTTCAGTATGTTGCAATCATATATGGCAAACTATGGTATTTCGGAGTAGACCGAGTTAATTTGGAATTTTATTCAAAAATATGAGGACATTAAATTAATTATATAACAACTTTTAATTTTAAAAGATAAACATAATTTTAAATTTTAATAAATTTTTTTAATTATTGTGAATATAAAAAATATCGAATTAATATTGTTTCCGGAATCATTGATTCGACATTCATGTTACATATATNNNTTATATTTGTTTATAAATAAAATTTAAACTATCTAATCAATATTAATTGAAAAAATAGTAAAGTTCGTATTTAGTAATTAAATAAATCTAGGTATCAAACATATTATATCATATGAATTAGAATTTGCATATGATGAGTTTCGTTTTAGATGAAAATAAAAAAGTAACTTCAAAAAATATATGAAAATTCATATGAAAAATTTCCGTATAATACAAAATATTTTCACTAATGCTAATTTTTATAGAATTGTTAAGAGAAAATGAAAGGCTTAGGGCGTGATTGTATATGATTTGTACAATAAATATCTCACTCAAAACTCAAATTTAACTCAACTTTAACTCAACTCCACTATCTGTAATATTATCAATATAATTAAAGAATATCAACCAATCATTCTTATACATCACATCAACTTTAATTCACTATTCATCCACTCACATAATTTTAACTAATTATCACTTCCAATCATTTTCTCCTACTTTTACATCAAATCAACTTTAATTATTTTAATTTAAATATTTAATATATCCACTAACAACTAACCATACTACTTTTTTTCAAATTTAATTATAATTAAAAAAATTAATTTTTTACTAGTTGAATTCATATCCAATCAACTCCTTATGTAATTTCAGTATAAATATTACCTGGAAAAAATGACATAGAATCTGAAACGTCAAATCAGATAGTTGGGAGTTTGGAATTTAGCGATTATGATGTGAATGGTTAAAGGCCGGTTGGTGGGTTTAGCTTTTCAGCTGTCATGTCACTCAAACTATGTCCTCGCCTGCTGCAACCTCTCCATTGGCCACCTGCACCTGCATTTCATATCTATCAATGTGTGCACACACAAACATTAATAATGATTAAATATGGGCGTTACTATTTACACTCTTATTACTAGTCACCATCCCTTTGAACTATTTTGTCCTTTTTATTTTTTCCAAACATCTCAGAGCAAAGTCTACGGCGAAATGTCTTTAAATTCAGAAGTACGAAAATTTCACCGTTCGGCTGGCGAAACCGGACGGCTTTTAGGCCGTCCGACCGGCGAAACCGGACAGTTTTTAGATCGTCCGACTGGGCGGTTCGGACGGCATAAAAGCCGTCCGGTTTAGCCGGTAGGACGGTCTAAAAAACGTCCGAAATATATTCGTGTTAGGAGTTAGAAATTATTATGTTACATGTTAGACTTGATTATGTTATAAATTGGACTTTAGATATTATCGTTTTAGGAGTTACAAATTACTATGTTACATGTTTAGACTTGATTATGTTATAAAATGGACGTTAGATACTATCGTGTTAGGAGTTACAAATTATTATATTACATGTTAGATTTGATTATGCTATAAATTGGACGTTAGATATTATCGTGTTATGAGTTACAAATTATTATGTTACATGTTATTTTATAAATTGGACGTTAGATACTATCGTGTTAGGAGTTACAAATTATTATGTTACATGTTAGACTTGATTATGTTATAAATTGGACGTTAGATATTATCGTGGTAGGAGTTACAAATTATTGTGTTACATTTTAAACTTCATTATGCTATAAATTGGACATTAAATAATATCATGTTATGAGTTACAAATTATTATGAGAATATTAGAAACCCTATCCGGCTATCCCTGCTCTACGCCGTTCCCCTTTCCCCTCATCTCAAACCTCAGCGTTCTCCTTCAAATTTGTGCCGGTACGCCTTCCTCAGCGACGATTGAGTATGAGATGGTGGTCGGCCCTCGATTGCTTGGCCCTTCCCCGATAAATCGCGCCGTCTATGGCCGTCGCTCTCAGGTTTGCTTCTGGCTTCGGAAGGTCTTCGGCTCCAGCGACGTTTCGTGCTCAATCCGGTGGCTACCTGGGTTGTGGAGGCAGTGGTTGGGGTGTATTTCGTTTGGGTAGGTGGTTCCTCGGTTGTTCGGCAGCGTTGTTGTCGAATGACCAGAGCTCCGCCGCGTTTCTTGGCCTTTCCCCCCTTGTACTCTGGCGTTGGGTCAGGGAGGACCATTGCTTCATCTTCCGGCCAGTGGTGTTGGACGAGAGGGCGCAGTGGTGGGCGGAAGATCTTGGCGGTTCCAGGTGGTTCAGAAGTCGAGGCTGGTACCACGACATCAGGTTGCTCTCTCCCCTGGTCTCATGTTCTGTGGCTCGGGGGGGGGCTTGCCGGTGACTGACAGACTCGCTAGTGGTGTTAGAGGGTTCGGTTCAGTGGCAGTTCTCTGGCAGTTAGGTGTGGTGGTTGTGGTTTGAGTTTGCTTTTAGGTGTTGTTCCGGGGCTTGGAATTAGACTTCGTTAGGCCACCAAGTTGGTGTTGGGCAGTTTCGGGTCGATTCCTTTTGGCTGTGGGACTCACTCTGGGTCGACTTGATATCCACTGGCTTAGCTTGGTTACGCTGCTTAGGAAGGGCTTGTTTCGATTTACTTAGTGTTTTTTGTTTGTTTTATGTGGCTTTTCATTCGTTATTATCATGTGTGATTGTATCGTTTAGGGCATGTATTTTCGGTTTGGGTCGTTGGCCCCTGTGAGCCCGAGTGTCAATTTATTATCCTGTTGGGATCCGACATTCGGGTATTATCCCGGT